CACACGCATGTTGAGAGACCATGGTTTGTCAAGGTCTGCAAGAGACCCTTGTGGGATTTGGATCTGACGAAAGTGCAATTCATCTTCAAGACCAATGAGAACTTCAACATCGTCACAAAAGGAAACCCTAAGGCTTTTGGGAACTACATGGACTTTGTTGCTGAAGTCATTCTGCAATACACATCCGTTGAGGGGGCGATCAATGTCCCAATCCAGGGAAACGTCTGCAGCAAGGTGAAAGGCTTTGTCCAGAGCTGTCCATACGTCTACAAAATCGGCCTCATACACGACTGAGTGTGTCCAAGACAGAACAGACTGAGATGCTACAAAATCGTCATGTTCCACCAGTGGAGGCCGTTGGAGCCCAACTTGCTTCGAAATTGGGCAATGAAGCGCAAAACGTGCAGGGCAGTCAGGGTCATCCTGTTTGTCTGTAACCGGCTTGGGCAAAGCGATCCACCCCTCAGTGCCATAACTGGGCCATGGAGCAATATCTGGAATGGCAGTATTCACTCGGCCTTGGCTAAAGGGGGCGGATCTTCCGACATGCGGTCTGCTGTCATCTGTTCTGGTGGAATGGTCCTTGGTCTTTTTCTCATCTGGTCTTGTTGTTCCGCTTCCTGCTGTACTGCTTTCTCGGCTTGAGAGTGCAATTCTTGCAGATTGGAACTGAGATCCTTGAAGCTGTCTGCTATGCGTTTCCCAGCGGATGTTTCGAAGGCCTTGGGCTCTACCTCGTCCACATCGCTGTTCATTGCAGAGTCTTCTTTTACATCCAAACCAGCGGTAGATTGACAGGCTGTCAGATTTGACTTGGCTATTGCTAAGTTCTCCATGGCTGTCTGCAGGCGGTCGGTAAGGGTCTTTTCTTGGTCCATGAATTGTGTGGAGTATCGCTGCCATTGTTGCACGGAGGCTGCAAGAAAATTGCGCCATGCCGTGTGCATGTTGAAGCGAGCAATCTGTGCTTCCTCCACTTCTTTCTTGGCCTTTCCGTGCTGGGTGACCGCTGAATGGAGCAACTTGGTTTCCTCTTGGCCCGATCTGACATTGACTTCTTTCATCAGTACTTGCACATCGTCTGGCAAGGCCTCCTTGTGTCTGCGGAGGGCTGCGAGGAGCGATTTGTACTGCTTCTCCTTGTCTTTGTCCTCTTTGGACTCTGAGACATTCCCACTGACTAATGCAGTCGCAGTGGGGCAAGGAGTCGGAGGTGATGTCAACCATGGAGGGTCCAATGCCGCAAGCGATGGCATAGAAGGCGGTCCAAATTGAGGCCGCTCCTCTGCATGCGCTTTTGACTTGCCCTTTCCCTTGCTTTGAGCGGTGGGAGGCTTTTTTTGCTTTGATCTCATTCGGGGAGATTGGCGTCGCCTGGGTGAGGCTTTCCAGTTGGGGTCTGACCAACTTTCCTCTTCTGTCCATGGTTGCGTGTAAGTCCACTGTACTTGTCGGGAGCTCTGCTGTCGCTTTGGTTGGACAAAGTTTGGATCGGAGCATACTTGCCATCCTTGTCCACATTGGCCACAGAAATCGTGACGTCCGCTGCAAATCTTTTTGCATGTTGTGCATTTCCAAGGCTCTGGTGTAGCATGATCCATCTCCTGTTTGATCCTGGACAAAAGGCCAGTGTCTCTGGAATGATGGGCTGCAAGGACACGCTTGATTTGTGCCAGTCGCCAGAAAGGTAGAGGGCGGATTTGCCTGCGGTGCAAATACCAGTTCAGTCTTGCTGATGACCTTTTTCTGCGCGCTGCTCGTCTCTGTGTAGGCGTAGCCGTTGCTAAGCAAGCAATTGGAAATCACCACCGGATGCAAAAGAATATGGTCACGTGCCAAAATGAAGGAAATCAGGAATGACGCAAAAACAGCCAAAACTGAGCACATCCACAAAATTGAGCCAGTGAGAAATAAATAGGGAGCTCACCCCTTTGTTGAGCCAGTGAAAACAAATAGGGAGCTCACCCCTTTGTAGGAGACACCAGTCGATGCGGTGAAGAGGACACGCAAGCAGACAAAGTCAATGCCAGGTCACAAGTTCAGCACAGAGAGTGATGGTCCCCAAGAAGAAAAATGTTGTATCCAACAGTCAGCTTATCAAAAAGCAGTGAATGAAGGAGAAGGTGCAGCAATGACGATCAAAATTGCGAAAACACCCGTGGGAAAAACCCACTTAGGTAGCGGTGGTTGCACACAAACCTGAAAAGTGGGGCAACTCGAGCCGATACCTTGGAAGGATGACATCCCATATATGAAATGAACAAAAAAAAATGTTTGAAACCAGCAACCAGGGAAAATATTGTTCTGCCCAGTTCGGGGAAAACATGTTGGAAGATCTTGCACGTTGCCTAGGAAAGACCACATACACTGCAGACTGGATGCTTCAAAAATATCTAATCCCCAAACTGACAAACTTCTCCAGTGCTTTTTGGTGCCGCGCGTTTGAGCCTATGTATGTATGTATATATATATATATATAACATTCAGATTATAATCTGAATGTTACATATAATGTGTGTTCACAACACAAATTATACCAGTATTGCAATCCAACCTGACCAGGATACTGATCCAAATTTATGGCTACAGTGGACCTGTATATTTTTCATTGACTGTAGTCATGTTGTGAATTCCCAATTCATCCAAGCTTATCCTAAGCCTAAACTCCTAAACCTTAGCCGCAGAATTACATACTTTGCAAAACCCTGGCTGAAAATTGGACCTTTCCGAATGGCACCCACAAATCATCCAAGTCCTTACAATGTGGGGCCCCCCAGTGATGTTAGTTGGTTTAGATTCGCCCCACCTGCGAAACCCGAGTGCAGGAAAAAAACGCGATGGACCATCTTGGTTTGAAAAAACGCGATGGAAAACAAAAATTGCGATAAAACCAAAAAAATGCGATAAATGATTTTGCCAAATTGCGGCACCCACAGCCTCGTTCTCTTTTAAGTCTGGGCACCATGGATTCGGAGAATTGGTTCTGTGGAAATAAAAGATAGAGAGGCGGGATCTTGAAATTTTTGGGCCATGGCCACACATGCCGGAAATGTTGGTTTTAAAATGGTTGAAACATATGTCCGCAAATTTCCGCGATATTCCCGCAAATTTCCGCGATATTCCCGCAAATTTCCGCGATATTTGTGTTTTGTTTTTTTTTCTACAAGAAATATGTTGCAAACCTGTTTTCAACTGTTGTGAGAGTTTAGCTCAGGCATATCACCCAATTTTTTGGGATTGCCTTTTTCATATCTTCAGCCAAGATTGCCTTTTTCATATTATGTAATGGAAAGGGCGGCCAAAGCGTGTGAAGAACCTGAGAACACCTGAAATGACCAAAAATTGCGATATTTCAAATTTTCAAGCCTTTCCCATCCCGGATCTTCAAAAAGTAGGTTTTGTCTGAATATCACTTTTTTTTCTGGCACTTAGGGCGCCCCAGGCAGTAACTAGTTCGTTATTTGCGTACCATAAACCATAGTGAAATTGGAGTTATGTGAACCCCAACTTAGCTATCTAAGGGAACCCACTTTGTAGATGATTTCAGTATTTTTCAACAATCATGGGGATTCCCTGGGGATTCCTGGATTCCCCGAATTCCAAAAACCATATAAACCGCCCACATTCCCATGGGAACTCATCCCCTATGACTCAATGGATTGGTTCATACGGGAAAATTTTCACCGGAAAAGCCCCATGATCTTCATGGGAAAATCGGGTTGGTTTCCGGTTTCGATTTTCCCAAGAAAACCAATCCATTGACTTCCTGGGAACCACCCAAATTCAGCAGAGCGCCCTCGGATTTTAACCATGACTGCGAGGCGTTTTTAGTAGCGATTTCATGTGATGAGCACATCGGATTCCTCACAGAAAAACATCTGTTAATGATGGTTATTCTGAATATTAATGAATATTAATGGTATATGAATGGGATATTAATGGGATATGATATAGTTAATGACTAACCTATATATATATCTGATAATTTGCTACATAGCTATTGAAAATGGTGATTTAGTTCGTGGATATTCCCATTAGAAATGGTGATTTTCCATAGTTATGCTAGTTTACCAGATGGTAACCTGGTTGGTGGTTGACCTACCACTCTGAAAAATGATGGAGTTCGTCAGTTGGGATTATGAAATTCCCAACTGACTGGAAAAAATAGAAAATGTTCCAAACCACCAACCAGTCATTATAGCCCATTTTCAGTGGCTGGTCAGCATCCCCTAGTATCGTGGGTTGAATCCACATTCTTTGATGGCGAGTTCATAGTCCCACATATCCCCACGATTCTTTGTCCACACACCCATTGCTACAGTTTTTTCCATAGTGCTGGTTATACCACTAGTATTGATTAGATATATATATATATAACGTGTGGATTGATTTACTGACTGTTGGTTTTGAATAGATATGAGGCTGGTTGATATCCCCTAAAGGAGTTCACAACAGCATAAAATCATTCTCCATTCACAACATGACTGCATCCCATTCTCAGAGAAAATGCTTAGGGTACCTCAAGGCTCAGTCCCCAACAAGCTGGGCCTTATTCAGGTTCCAGTCTGCCATTAGGGGGGCTTCCCCAACCAGCGCCAGCGCGTCAGCCCCAGAGAACAAGTTCATGTGGGGAGTCACCCTTGGGGCGCTTGATTCAACCCCCATGATCCAGCCCAAATACTATAGGGAACATCTATCCCAAAGGGCCCAGAAATATGTCCATATATATCATATACCATATCTATCATATTAATCTAGCCCTGACGGCTAAATCTTTCATATATAATTAATATCATAATATTATCATAAGTGGGTTCATAAACCGCATGAATACTATAGTGATAAGCATCATAAACCATACTGTGCTTTCCCAGTTCTGTTCACCAACTTTGTTATCATAAAGAAACTATTAAAATCAGCTATAAATCCCACATCAAATCATCATAAATCGCCATTTTCCTGTGGTTTTTCCTACATCTTCCCATGGGCCCCGAAGGGGCCTCTGAGGTCAGCATCCCTGTGAGACTTCTCCGCCGCAACTGGTCGCAGTCGATGGCCAAGGCGTGAATTTCCGCAGGGAAAGGTGACCTTTTTTCGGCAGTTTCGGCAGATGAAAACCAAGTGATTTGAAAAAAGGACATGGTACGGTTAAGTGGTACCCTATGGTAATTTAACATAACTATGGAACATCACCATTTATAGTGAATTTTCCCATGAAAAATGGTGATTTTCCATAGTTATGTTAAATTACCAGAGGGTAGATTCTTGACCTTTTTTTTTAACCATATGATTTTTCGAATGGTACAATCATTCATTGATCATTGACCATAACCATAATGGTACACTTAATAGTACAATCATTAATGATTATTTGTTAATCGTGATTAATAATGGTTAATGATTAATAACAGTTGATCATCTATTGATCTGGGTAAGTTAACATTATCAACAGGTTGGTTTATAGTTTTGTGTAACTTGGGGTTTACATTGCAGATTTTTCGATCATTGTGTTTGTTCGGAAATTTCTTTTATAGTTTTGCAGTTCTGTTTCATGATTGACAGTTTTGGGTTAACAATTTCGCTTGGGGTCCTCTGTGGCTATAAAATTGGGGTTATACATTGTTTAAACCAGTGTCTTTGTCTTGTGTATGTCTAGTATTTTCCTGGATTGCAGAGCTGCGTTGATTCTGATATTCCATAACGCTTCCTGCACCATATACCCGGCCTGGTAAACATACAAAAAACTATGGAAAGATCCACCCATGTTATAGCTGGGTAAATCAATATCATCAACTAATAAATGGTTTTTACTATGGAACATCACCAGGTTTCATGGGAAAATCCACTATTTCGACTGGGCCATTTTCCAGTTCGCAAACTGTAAACGTTTACCAGGCCGGGTAAGTCATGGGCAGTTCTCTAGACCGATCCCCAGACCACGAAAAACCTGGCAATCATCATTTCACAGGGCGAAAAGAATTCCAACAGAGAATTCTTTATGCCAAACAAGTACATTAGCATCTATCATCATTATCTATCATCATTATCTATCCATGATTGAAAAATCCAAATTGAAAAAAAACTCAATTCTGAGCCATGCACAGCTGCAAGTCTCTTTGAAAATAACACTGTATTCCTCTCAATGAAATGCTGCACTCCTGTAAGGGGATGCCACTTTATGCAAGGAATGTCATGATTGAAAAATCTTGTTGCGCAAGGCATATATTGGATGATTTTTGCTTTGAAAAAAACAACAACTTCACCGTCCATGCTGAAAGTGGTCCCGATTTGCAAACGTTTGCAAGTAAACAAATACATATATATATATGTATCCCTATAGATCCAAACACTGTCTGAGAAGGTACCTAACCCCCTAAATCATACCCCAGTCACACTTCCTAAGAAGGTACCGCTGGATCCACAGGGTGTGATATATATATATATATATATAAGAATAAAAATATATCATAATTATAATATAAATGGTTTCATCATTACATTTTATACATAATAACATATAATATTTTTTATTTACGGAAATGTAAGAAATATCAAATTATAGCACATTTAACATGAATATAATATTTATATTATAATTTCCTTGTTTATCATTTAAGGAAAGCAACAAAAACACATCGCCCCCGGTTGACCCGACCCTCTTGGCTCTGTGGTCGCTTCGTAGCGGCCCAGGGCCATCCAGTCTTGTAGCACCTGGTGCGACGCGACGCTCCAGAAATGGAGACACAAAAACAAATCGAATAAGTGTAGTATATTGGTATGTGTGTGTTATGTGTGTGTGTATGTATAATGTATTAAGTACATAGAATACCATTGGTATGTATTTATGTGTGTATATGTATTAGTATGTGTGTATTCACTAATATTAACAAATGTGAATTAGTATAAAAATATATATATGATATCCCTATGGATCCAGCCGTACCTTCTTAGGAAGTACTTGGGGTATGATTTAGGGTGTCAAGTACCTTCTCAGACAGTGTTTGGATCCATAGGGTATATATATATAAAGTCATCCTGGAGTAAAAGAAAGCAACTCTCTAAATTGTTTTTTATTCGCAACTCTCTAAATTGTTTTTTGTTCCAAAATCCCAAATGGCCCAAAAGGGTGATTGTATATTGTGCATACATTACATGACATTACATGGCATTGCCTTACATTTTCTTTATCGCGTATGCAGTGTACGTGAAAAAAATAATCTGACAACATGTGTACACATAATATATATATATATACATAAAGAAAATATCCGATATATCCGATATTTGATACATACGTATGTGTAATTATGTGTATATATTGTCACACAATTTACAAACACATTCCCACACATTTGAACAGCAGTCATTGCACGCACACACACACACAAACACATGGTACTCATTAGGCACGTGCAACACCCGTAAAAACCGTGGATCATGTCCAGTTGGGGGTTCGAATGTGCGCTCAGCAGGCTCCTACCCGCTTCCCTTCTCCCGAAATAGACAGTTAACTGGTGACATGACTTTAGAACTGCTGGATGAAAAAAACACCTGTCCACATGTCAGATGATTCTCGGTTTAGTCCACGTAAGGAACAGCTCCATTGCATCCATGACTCGGCTGGTTGATTTCACATTTATCCAAAAACGATGCCATGCGATGGTTCCCTAACTGTGTGGTCGGTTGTCAACTGTCACTGTTCCATGTCACCCAAACTGGTACGCTTTGATGTGTTTCGCCCAACTGTTCACGGAAATTGGAGGAAACTCACAGTTTTTAAGTACGTTTTTTTTTTCAAAAATTGAGGGTGTCATTTTTATTTTCACAGGAGACTTCCTTTAAAAAGCAAACGTACCATGTGATTGGGGAGTTCCTTTGAATTTCCCCTTAAACAACAGAATCAAACAATGTTGTTTTCCCCTCAAAAACCCCCAACAAACACACCCCAAAAAAACAGCATGTTTTTTTTCGACACCTGATGTCCCAAGCCAAACTCTGGCACTGCCAGCAAACGCGCTTCAAAGCAAGGACTGGCGCAAAGAATGGGGGGCAACGGGAACTCAAGGTGAGGATTTGGGAGGAACTTGGTGAGGCTTCCAAATTCCATTTGTTCACTGTTCGAACAGTGGGTTTTCCATGGTGTTAACATGTTTTAATAGGTTTTAATCAGATTTAATGGTGGTATGGGTAAACCCGTTTCGCAACTGGCTATTGATGTTGGTTTCGTTGTTGTTTGAAAACCTGGAAGGGCAACAGGGCGAACTGCTTAAAAATGCCTTGGGCGAACTGATTTCAGGTCAGTTTTAAGATGTGACAAGCTCAGACTCTTAAGGAACATGCACATTAATTATTTAATGGACATGTTTGACCATGTTTCTGAAAACAACTTCCAGAGCCCAAGGATATAGATGGACTTTCCAAATGTCCAATGCGTCTGATACCCTGCATTGATTTTGGCAACATATTCGTACTTCGTTCATCCTCGTTTATGGACCATAACAAGAACATACTAAAGTAACATCCAAGGTTTCCCTGCCTCAGCTATTAGCAGTGCAGGTTTCGACGATTCCACGATTCCTCAAATCATGACCATCTTGCATACCCTGACATATCATTGCCGCTTAGGTTAGCGTTAGCATGCCATGGTTAACAAACATCCCCATTTAACACGGAATCTTCACCCCGCCTGTGACAGATTTGCCATAAGAAGTAGGGTGCACCTGGCGGGATGCAGGTCCCCCGCTCATCCAATGGAAGGTTCTTTGCCCAGAAAATCAGCAGTTGAGCAACATCTATGGTCTGGACTGGTCTGGTAAAACATGCTTAAGGTTCTCACAAACAAAATCTGAAGTTGACATGCAAACACTAGAGCGGTGTGATTTCGTTGTCAACCTGTCGCGAGTGGCGATGCAAACTTGAATGCGGTTTTCTGGGTAATGGTCAGCAAAAAGGTAGGGACAACGGATTGGAAAAATCATAAATGTCGCCAAAATCCACCAACACAACTGCCACACCAGTGGATGTCAAACAAGTCTTTTTGTCCAGCATCAACGAAGTCTGTGTAACGCCGCAGATATGAGATTGACATTTGCAAAAGGTCAATTGTTTTCCCAACTTAGGTCAAATCTGTTGCGGTGTAAATTACAATTTGGCTTTTCAGCCTCAAATAGGGCTTCCCAAAAACTCACATGGGCGGTATTCACCACCGTATTGAGCAAAATGTCAGACAAACAGAGACCAATGCTTCATCAAATAGAGTTTTGACACCTAACGACAGTGGTTAACCTCAAAGCATCATCAAACTCAAACTCCTTGGAACAGATCTTCAAAATGATTCTATCTGATGAGACCTGTAGCACCTCAGGAAGGACATCCATGGATCTCGGAACACCTGCCAAGAAGCGTGTCGACACATCAAGTCTGGAACAGTAGAGGAATTGCTTCCTTCCAATAACTGCAAACGTGGCTTGCCAAATATACATAGAGTTCATTGGTTTGAGCACGAGGACCAAACAAACTGGGTTTGTTCTTATTTCAGAACAAACCCAATATCCCAATGTTGGTCCTCGTGCTCAACTCGGAGCTCAAAGCGTCGGTCTTAGGAGTCTTTGCTCTGAGCTCCTGTTTGAGTTCCTTGACATCTTTGAGGCCGGCATACTGCGCTGCAAAGCCGTGGCAATCACCTTGCTGAGCGCATCGTCTGACAAGCCAACGGTGAAGAGCTGACGGCAACTGCTTGGGCGCCCTTCTGCTGCCTGTAGCCATGAGCACCAGCATCAAGCCTTTCTTCTCACTGCGCTGAAAGCCCTGACTATTCACACGAAACGTGTTTGTTCTTGCCTGTTGCCGACTGTTCTGCTGAGACAATGGCGACGAACAAGTCAGCAGTACGCTGAGGTCGAAACTCTGCACAAATTGTCTGACAAGTTAGGCATCTACTTGTCTTCACTCCGTCCCTCCCATCCGGAAAATCCCACCTTTGGTCTCTATCGATGTGCTTGTTCCCAAAGCCGGTGCGGACCCCGGGGGGGGTATTGGTTGGGTGCTTTCGCGCTGAAAAAAGCGCCCAAAAATATCTGGTTGTACCGCTACAAATCTGTGTGCCAAAAATCCCAGTGATGATAAACACTTTGGGCAAGTCAGACAAAATAATTCTAATTCAAAATCATCACAAATACTAATGATATTAATTGGGCTATAATACCTCCATTTATCATTATGTTCCTATTAGTATCATGATTTTCCAGACCTCCCATTGATATACAACTAATTCACCCACCAAACACATGTTTGGCCAAAAAAAAATCGGGAATTCCCACCTGGTTTCAGGACGTTGTCCGCAACGACGATGGCACCGTCTTTCAAGAGACCAAGCTCCTGAAGAAAAAAAAGTTGGCGGAGTTGACCAACAAATGGGCTAAACCGACCACAGTGGGGATATCATTATATTATATTAAATTTTACTGTACTATATTATATTATATTGTATTAAATTCTATTATATTTGTATGTATATTTATGTTTATATTTATATTTATATTTATATTTATATTATATGTATATATATATATGTATATATATATATATATTGTATGTTATATATATAGTGATATGAAATAAAACATATAATAGCGATATGTTTGAAATGTTGGTTTGTCTCGCAATGTTCAAAATAGGGGAGACAGAAACCCTTGAATGGCGACCGAGGTCAGGCCTGCATTGTTTCACCGGCGGGTGTTGAATCTCAGCCATTTACCGGAGATGCCAAAATTTGATGCCCCAAAAATTGGAGGGTTTGCAACATCGTCTTCTGGAGCAAAAGCTTGAGCTCTTGACCCATTCCAAGGATGTCCTTTTGCAAGGTCTGTTTGGTTCAATCGATTCAATCACGACGTATCACAATTTATCCATAGTTGGTTTTAGTCCATTAATTGGCATTATAAACTATTATATATAATTTGTATTATATATATATAACTTATAGATAATTATTCTCAACCATAATTGGTTTTAGCCCATGGATAAAAGTGGAGGGTTGCTGAAGGGATATGGAGAGCTGACCAATCAAGAGGTTGGCAACTGAAACATGGAACATACCATAGAATCAATGGCCATGACGAACTGGAACCGATAAAACTTGGAGGTACCTACCATAGAAAAAAGGCCTATGTAAGGCCTATGTTTGCGGGAATATCCCCCCAAAATATGGCCTGAAAATTGGTACTAAGGTACCTCCATTTTAGGATCCTGGAGATCTCCCATGTAACTTACAATACCTCAACAACAATATGTGGGGATGCGGCATACCAGGATATTTTTTTCGGACAAGTCCCCTTGATCCTAGCAGTTGGTTGGTGAAAAAATTCGCGGTTTCAGCAAAATATGGCCGGAAATGGTAGTCACTCATATCCCACAAACAGCTTAAACATTTTGTTTGAGCCGTGTAGGCCATCCTTGGAATGATGTCAACATACACCTGGGACAAACAGTTTTCCAACAATTTGGGTGTGTTCTTTACAAGGTTGAAACAAATGGACCAATCCGGGTCAATGAGCACTCAAATAACGAGAACATAGCCAACAAGAACTAGGTACAGTGTGGTACAATATGGTACAATTAGCAATGCCTGCAAAACAACAATGGAACAATAAAACCAGCAATATGCATCGGTTCAATCGTTCAACCCCCATTGTTTTGGGAAATTCACCCATAACCTCAACAATGTCCTTTTGGCAGAAATAGAGGAGCCAGTTTGGTATACCATCTATCATGGAGGTCACCCCTCTATGCATTGGCCAACGAGTGGGAAAAGGGGAAAAGGCCATCTATATGTAATTAGAGGAGTTTGCTCTCAAATAATGATCTGATCTGCTACTAAACTGGTACCTCCCGAATGAAACAGCCCAGGGTTTTGTTATTCCGGGGTTGACATTAATTCACCCATATCTAAGATGATTCATACTAAGTTTGCAATGAATCCTTTGATAAACCATCTCTAAGTGGCAAGAGGTATGCTCTAGGAACCGCAGTTATAGGGAGTGCCTGAAGTCCAGTCTTGTTCACATCCGCCAGGATTTTCGCAGGTACGGGCACTCCAAGGAGACCAGTCACTTCCGTAAGTGGGACTCCATGTCTGCAATTTTCACTTGCTATAAGAGTGACCGCTGGCTCCCCTTCATCCAGAGCCAGTACACCTTTCTTTGCTCTGGGGTTGAGAACCACGTCGGATCCATCGGGAAATTCACCAAGGGCCCCTCTAAATTACTCATAAAAATCACCCCGACACACGCAAGATCCTGCAAGTAGGAAATATATCCCGTTCTATCCCAATAAACATTCCATTAAATCACCATTACATGCCATTAAATCACCATTTCTGTTTGGTTAGTATATCCACAATTGTTGGAATCTTCTTAGACCAACAGCTCTTTCAGAGCGCCTGAAAACTCTGAAGATCTTCATGGAAAAGACTGCCTCGATGATCCATGAAGAGCATGGCCTCAGAATCGAACCCGGTGGGTTGTTGGAAAAAAATACTCGGTGGAACTTTCATGTCAGCATTGCTGTAACTCGTATATTTTTACGTATATTGATAATTTATAATATATATATATAATATACACAGATGTGTGTGTGTGGTTCCCGTATTAGTCATATTTAATATTACGGGGATGCGCTGATTTATAATGATTTACACTTATATATACTATATATATATGTATAATCTAATATAATATAATATGATTCTTACTGGACTAAGCCTACTGGAGTTGGTAATTATATCCCCCCCCTTTAAGGGAGGGGGGGGGGTGGGGGGGGTAAAAATTGCAATATTTCACTTTAGGGGGGGTCTCCCCCCCCACACCTAGACATATTTCACCTCCCTAAAGTGAAATATTTCAGCTCAAAAATTCTGGTCTATAATGGTCTCTGGGCGTGGTTGAATTCAAGGCTGAACGTCATGTTCTGAAGGCTGTTTGGCAAGTTCACTCTCTTATACAATACTCACAAGCCTGTCTGTAAGTATGTTTGTGCCCCAATATATATATATACATATGTATTTAAGTACAAGTATATGTGTGTATATATATATATGAACGAATGAAAGTATGAATGAATGAATGAATGAATGTATGTATGTATGTATGTTCAAAATGAAAGGGTGTGTCATGTTGTGTCATACCGTTTCTGGGCTAAAATGTGGCATCCGGAGGACCCCCCCCACGTCTTTTAGAAGCCCAAAAAAACACGTGGGGGGGGGTATATTTCACGTGGTCAGGCGAAATATTTCTCAGAAATTTCATGCCTTACCCCCTTAAAAAAAAATCCAGGGTTAAAGGTGGAGGGATGTAATTATTTAGTCCAATATAATAATATGTATGTTAGCCCAGTTATCATTGGAGCCTACTGCATCCCTAGTGGACCTCGGAAAGCCATGGGATTTTCCCATGCTTGGTACACCTTAGGATACCCGAAATGGTACCCTCTGGTAAACGAACTAACAAAAAACTATGGGCCAAATCACCATGGTTCATGGGAAAACTCACTATTTCTATGGCCATTTTCAATAGCTTTTTGTATGTTTACCAGAGGGTAATGACTAAGTTACAGTGTGCGAACTGGAAGCCATGGCAGAAAGTTCGTTGATTTTTGCATCATAAAATGGTGATTTTCCTATACTTTCCTATACTTTCCTATACTTTCCTATACTTTCAAAAATATGAAAGTCAATTGGGATGATTATTCCCAATATATGGAGAAATAAAACATGTTCCAGTCACCACCAACCAGTATAGTTATGTAAACGTTTACCAGAGGGTATACCTTAGGATAACTTCAAGAATCCGAGAATTCTTGAAGGCACTGATGACAGGGGAAGAAGATTTACCAAACTGTGTCACCACAAATCCAGATCATTCCCCTAGATGGGCAATGGGTTTAGTTGATTGGCTAGAGACTGGGTTATAACTCCATTATACACACATTTATCAGGGGGTAGATATGTGACTATCCAGTTACGATCACCCGTTTTTTTCTCCATGGTCCATCTAAGTACGGAACCCAAGGTCCGATTAGAAAGCTTCATTACTCCAATTAGGTAGATCCTTTCCTATCCCATAGGATCCATGGTGCTGCTGTATATGGTAACATGGATCCCATCAATATACCCCAGTCATGTTAGCATATATACCAGCACCATGGATCCTATGGGTTATATATATATTGTTACTGAAAATGACCATTAATAGTGGATTTTCCCATTAAAAATGGTGATTTTCAATAGCTATGTTAAATTACCAGAGTGTAGATCCTTTCCTATGAAAATCAATGGACTTTCCACATCTCTCATGATCACTTTCTACGGAACTGTGCTCCATGTGTTTCCCTTACGACGATGTGGAGCGCCGTTTGCGCCGATGATCTTCGAAGCTGCAACCGATGATGTACCCTCTGGTAAACGTTTACATAACAATGGAAAGATCCACCATTTTTAATGGGAAAATCCACGAAATAAATGGCCATTTTCAATAGCAAACTGTTAAATTACCAGAGGGTATCCTCTCAGATTTCTTCTTGGAAGTGGATTTATGCATCCTGCTAATGCAGCATGATACATCATGATACAACGCTCAAGGTTTAGGTAAATTTGATTCTTGTCAAAAGTGCGAATCATGTTACAATATGTTACAATGGTCACACAAAACACCCGTAAGGAAAGCCACCAATGGTTTATTTGGGGTGTACCATAAGTGGTTGAAACTGAGAAATGGTCATCTGGTTTCTATGGCTTCAAAATTTGCCATTTGGTTACCATAGGTTTAACAAATTCCAATATGGGGGTTTCCTGAAATGGGGGTATCCCTAAATCATCAAATTTTACCAACCAGCTATGGGGGATCCCCCATGACGATGAGGAACCCGGAAACCCTATGATATCCCACAGGATGGTTCCCCCCAGTTATAGCTTCATAAACCCCATGAATACTAGTATAAGTTATACCCTGCATGGTTCCCCCCAGGCAAATAAGTTGGCTTATAAACCCCAGTTATATCATGTTACCCTCTGGTAAACGTTTACATAACTATGGAAAATCACCATGTTTAACGGGAAAATCCACGAACTAAATCACCATTTCCAATAGCTATTTGTATGTTTACCAGAGGGTATATCCACCATAAACCATAATTAAACCATGACATGTGTTGACTATTCTATGTGAAAGTCTGCCAGGCGCGCCATGGCTCCACGGATCCACGGATCCCCAGAAGTCCCGGTCCCCGGGGTCCCCGGACCACGGAACGCCGCCCGAAGCGGCGATGGACATAGTGTGCCATGTCGCTGCTGTTGCCAATCCACACCTGCCGGATCCCGCCGGATCCCGCCGGGGCAGCGATCTCGATTTTTTCCATGGGTTTTTCCCCACATCTTTGTGTGGGGTTCTTGTTTTTGATTCTGTATCCCGGGCTCCTCCTTCTCCTCCTCCTCCTCCCGCCCTCCTCCACACACACTACACACAAACTTCACATACACAAACTTCACAGACAATAACTTCACACACACACAAACTTAACATAACATACATAACACACACACACATAACTTCACACACTAGACAAGAATGGATCATTATATGATCCGGCAGGAACTGAATCCTGAAACATGCAAACCAGCCTAGATTATTTGATGAATAAAAGAGCCACATGAGGTACTTCTCGAAAACGATGTAGGGCATCCGAATTGTCAAACGTAGTCATAACCAGATTCCATAGAGTTTTGACCAGCATGTTGAAATCCAAAATAATGTTTCGGCGATTGTTTCCCAAAATAACCCATAGTTCGTCGGCGACAGGATCTCGGCGAAAATAAGTCAAAAAACATAATACTGTCGGCGAAATGGTTTCGGCGAAAATCTGAGGAAGGTTCTGATGCATGCAATACAGATTGTGGCAACCGTGTAGATTCGAAACAACGCAGTGTAACAGCTTGATCAACAGTTGAAACCAAATTTTGCAGGTACACAGAGTTGATCAGACTCTGCTTCCAGCACGAGTGGATAGCTTCGTTGGGTGCAGTCTCCACTGTGCTCTGCACCCCCCTGCAAATTAGTGAAAACCAATAAGAAGTTTTACATCTGTTCAGATGGTACACACACACACCTCGCATGTAGCGAGGTTGGATTTTTGAAAGAACTTCGCTGGCGGAATCGGCAATACACCAGTGAAAGTGAACCTGTAATAACCTAATGTACAAACGGGCGATCACTTCAGTCAGAAGAGAAGTTCGAAGCTTGTAGAAGAACTTCGATAGCATCGTGAAAGCTCATGCGTTCAACCATCGCCCAAGTCTGATTGAGTTCCCCAGATGCCGTAGCAGCCTTCAAGGTGTCAGAAAGATCTTTAGCTAATTCATGAAGCCGGGTGGTTAGGCTCGGTTCATCTGTAGAAGATGTCGTCTCAATGGGCACATTGTGAAAAGAATGGTGTCCGTGTACAAGGGGGATCTCGAAATGATGTCGCCAATAGTCCGCTGTACGCAGGGACCAAACTACCTTTTTGTGCGCATACGTCGTTGGTCAGCCAAGTTTGTCCTTGATCTTATTCCACATAGAACGAACATCTTCCTGGGACTTGCCCATCTTGGTCGCGATCACCTTCCATGAAAATCGAGACTTCTCGTCAGCTTTCAATGTGCGCAGTTTCTCTTTGTCTTCGAAAGTCCAGAGTGACAGTGGGCTCGAGAAGCGGGATCGGGATTGATCACGTCAGCGACGACGCTTGGCAGGCGCCTTTGAAGCGAATTTAGCTTTCTGTTTGCGAGTCGGCGGTGATGGTGTTCGCGTAGACAACTTCGAGGGTGCAGGTAGTACATCAGGTGACGGGGCGGCAACATGGTGATGTGGCTCAGGGAGATGGGTTTCCACCAGTTCATCCATAAGTGCCTCTTCTTCCACCATATCCGGTGATGGGATGGGGGCATTGTCAATGAAGGCGTTGGTCTGATCCGAGTAATGTGGTCGTAGCCCATCAGGTTGATTCCATACGTCTGTGCTGAAAAGAGGAGTAGGTTCAATGTTGGAAATAAGCGTGGGTGGTAGTAGCGCCATTGCTCGATGTAGTAGAAGGTAAGCATGGTGAACATCATGAAGAAATTGAAGAAACACCGGTTCTTGAATCGAAATTGACGTCGTAGAAGGCGAAGAAGCCATGACGATGCGTCGAATATGAGCCAAGTAAAGGAAACCGAGTGTGAGAATAAGCCGGCTGAAAAAGCACTACTTCAAAATCCTATAAATTCACATGTAGTCCAAATAGGTGAAACGGTCTGCAAGATGTGAATAGTGAAACGTAAGTGCCAGCAGCAGAACGGTTCAGAATTTTACCACAATGGGAAAACGTGTAAATATTGACGAATCGGCTTTGAGGCAACGACGAGATCGAACTCGGTAAAACCTGCGGCTCTGTACAAACGGTGCAATGCGGCAAAACCTCGTGTCCGTTCGTGTGCAGAATGCGCGCATTTGGCGACCAGAAATAAGCGTGAAACAAAACCCGAAAGTTGTACCGCCAACGGTGATGCGAAGAATGGCGCCATGACCTGGTTGAAGTCGCGTGAAGGGCTGTAACGAAGGGCAAAAGGCTCGAACTCGATGCAAAAGCCCAAGAACTCCTGGTCCGGTTCCGTTTCCAGAATGATTGAATTGCCGTAGAACTCCGGGTGAAGAAAATTGGCGAAGCAGATTTCGTAGTCCCAGCTGGGGTCCGACAAGCACAGTCTGTTGTCCACATAGCGAAGAAGGCGAGCTGTAAGATCCATGGTGCTGAGTGTGGTGCGGTAGGTTCGGTACCAGATTTCTTCCGAAAGTGCGACGACCATCATGCACAGTGCTGAATTCAGTGGAGAGCCCATAGGGGAACCCCGAATTTGTTCAAAAACCGTAGTGCCAATGAAGAATTGAGTCATCTTCAAAGACATAAGAATGATGCGTTCGATGTCCCGAATGAAGATCTTCCTGGTCACATTGAGTGTACGACACGTGCGGCCTTTGACTACGTCGCCGGTGGTGTTGCCCGAAGTTGCCTTAACAGAGATGATCTCGTCCGGGTCGGTGTTCATGAGAGTCGAGAGAAACTGCAAGGTTAGGCGCCAGCTAGCGATGAAGCGGTCAGTGTCAATGCTTGTGAAAAAACCCGCAAGATCTTGGTTGTGTATTCGTGAAGTGGGAAGCGAGTCAAAATCGGTATCCTTGAGAAGCTTGATGAGATCAAATACATCGCCCCGTGCCAGGTTGTGGGAAAACGCTTGGGGTAGAAGGTTGTAGATCAGCTTGGCAATGCAATTCATCATTGGTCGAAAAGGTGCCGTGAAGAAGCTGACAATGGGTCGCCCGGCTTTGAACTGTTTCTTTCGTTTGGGAAGAACGTAGGCGTTCGGTAGGTCTCGTCCAGCCCCAAGTGCCCATGGATATGTTTTGCCAAATTGGCGGTTGATCTCGGCGATGGTCTTCTCGATGATGTTACTCGGGCTCTGCTCCAACTTGCGAAATACCAACGGGTCGGCGAAGGTGGTGGTGAGGCACTGGAAGTAGAGTACGGGGCAGTAGATCCGTAGAAATGTAGCTCGCTTGTCCTCGTTGTGAAAGATGGCTTCTGAAAAGAGACGTTTGAAGCGGCCGATGTCTTTGTGAGTGATGTGGTTGTTGAGGGTGTGGTAGTGAAATTGAATAGAACGATGCCAAAGCTCATCAATATGAAACTTTTGTAAGAAAGGGAGTGAGTTCCGGGTAGTCCACGTCCGCAAAGCCAGGCGAAGCGATGTCTGAATTTCCTTGAAAGGTGAAAAGATTTTGTTTTGAAGCGAACCAGTCGCAATGAATGTGTGTGGGCCATCCTCGAAATGTAGGTTGTCGCCGTCCAGGACCAAGTGGTGATCGAATTGAAAAACACGAAGGGCATGAGGGCGTAGAACATCGCAGGCACACTTTGGGGTTTCGCCGTCAGCCCATCTTGTAGCGGCTTCTTTGTGATTGCACATGCTATCCATCACCGAGAAAAATTTTGTGAAGACAATCGCCGTGAAAGGGGTCTGCAATGTGGTGTTGTAATGTCGAGTGTGATGAACGTGAAAGGTGAGCAGCCGCCGAAGATCCCGAGTCCCGTTGGGGCATAGTAACCAAGGTGCACGAAGAGAAACCGGTTTTCTGACTCGTTTGGCTTTCCAGAAGGTCAAAGCTCGGTCGATGGCATTGATGGCGTACGACCTTTGGGGTTCTCCTAGGTTGTTGGCAAGACGTCGAATAAAATAGCAGCCTTGGACCCCAATTTCGTTGAATCGGAGTTTCTTCTCCATGTGGAAGCGTCTGACGAAGTTACTTCCCAGATCTTGAATAATCTCCCAGAGTTGTACTCGCCGATGAAAGAGAGAACTGTGAAGAGCGTGTCGAACATGATGGGGTGTAAATCGCCAGCGAAGTTTCCGCCACAAGAAAAAAGCTCCAAATTGTCGGGAGGCGAAAAATTTGGTACGTGCTATAAGGCCCTTTCGGCAATTGAAAAACTGGTAAATGAACGAAGTATTCAATCGAGGTTGCCACAATTGAATTAAGGCCTGTTCCAAGGCCCAAAAGTTGAATTTATTGGTGTAGATCGAAAAAACAGACCACATCCAGAAATTGTCAAATCTGCACCAAAACCGTAAGGCAACTTCGGCCAGCACGAATTTATGTTGTTGCACTTGCAAGAATTTCCGATAGCGAGAGTGTTCGCGGTCCAAAACAAACGAAGACGTAAAACCAACATAAAACTTGGTTGAAAATTAGCAATGTGGCTGAAACGAATATACACCGCCTGAGGGTGCTTGAAACATTGAAGGGTGACTGACAAGTCATCCCAGGATCTGCAAAAGAAAATACTCTGCATCGAAGTGCCTTTGAGCAAGGCTTGAAGTTTCGAATTGGCCCGTGAATGTAATAACACATATTGGCCCATCAATACCGTTTGAAGCATCCGAAAAGCAAAAAAGACATCAACAGAAGGGAACAACGAGAAAGAAGTCAATAGTGCAAGAACCAGAATACAAGAATGAGCCACGGCCAAAGTTCGCATAATGTTGGCTACTTTTGAGCCAGAGAATTTCAAATAGGCTGCTAGTCAGAATTGCATCAATAACGCCACCGTCATGACCTTGAGGACGACTTCATCCGTAAAGGCCCCCTTGTGCTTGCAGGGGTCGATACCCATGGCCACGCTTGCGCGTTGAATGGTTTTTGAAGCATCATCGGGTTGGTTTTGCCACCATTCATTGACCTTTTCCAAGTTCTTCTCCAGGATGTCCTGTTTGGGCTGTGGTAGCTTCAGGGCTTTC